TTATGTAGCAAAAAAAGAACTAATACAGACCCTACTTTCCTATAGAAGAGGCTGCTTCTATCCCAGCAACAAGTGGGGAGACAAGCAAACTTAAGGGGGAAAAAAAAGCTGACATATACGATTCCTAACTCACTGTGACCAGGGATTTTGTTCAATTACTGCCTGAGTAACAGTACCTGTTTTGTAATACATTTTTACAAAATATCAATGTTCTGCAAATTGTGAACAGTATTAATAGATTTACTTTTTATTTCCAGTTTTAGAAAATTACTTTGATAACCATGCAGGAATAAAAGTCACTGGGTGTCTAGGCTTCTTGGATGTCTGCCAAAGTTGTGCCAGCACCTGGAGAGATATATCTCAGGCTCATCTCAGAAATGAGCCAAGGTCATGGCTCCTGTCCTTTCTAAGTACCAAGAGCTTTTACTCCATAAACTACAACCTTTTACTTTTCTTTAGAGTAAGAATAGCTCAGAGGAGCTCTCAGCTACAAAAAAGAAAGTCCCTCCCTAATAATTACAACCTTGACCCCCTAAAATGAGGACGTAACAATCTAAACATCTTATTAAAGATTCAACAAGCCAAGGCTGTGCATTTCCTGCTGGGAACTGTAGTTCTCCCCTCGACCTTCAACCACCGGCTGCGCGAAACCTATCACGAGCCCAACCGGCGACCCGAGCACAGGCAGCCACGATTGGTCTCTGACTCGGGCAAGCGCGGGGCTGATTGGATGACAGGCCCCCGAAGCCGTGCCTACCTTCCTGCGCCCGCCTACCCGTCACCTACTCCTTTCTGCACCCCATCCCGCTTCAGCAATAACCCTCAAGTCATCCTGTTGGGCTCAATCCCCAGCTAACTGCCTCACGGGCCCGCCCGGGACTCGCGATGAGGGCGACCCTGACACATGCCTCTCTCCCAGGGCCTAGACAGAGCGAGAGCCTCTCCCATTTTCCGTTGGTTGCATGAAGTCAGTCTGACCACGCGCTCTCTCCCCGCGCCCCCGCGCTCACCTGGGCGGCGGCGGTCACACCGGATAACTGACAGGCCCGCAGCATCTCGGCCAGAGGGACCGCACTGCTGGTGTACGCGGGAGCTACCGCGGCGGCGCCAGTAAAGGAGAGCGTGCGTGAGTGCGTGCCTGCGTCCGTGCTGCCTCTCCGCGCCGGGCGTACCGGAAGGGCAACCAACGCCGCTGCGCACGCGCAGCTCCCTCTTTTGACCCCGCCTAGGCGGCTCGGAAAGGGTGGGCCCTTCCCTGGCGGAAAGGCGATTTCTCCTTCCGGGCCTGTCTTGGAATTCTCCTTTGTATCCCCAAGAATGGTTTAGCAGGGGATCCCGCAGGATGACAGGGAGTTTGAAACATCAGCGCGGAAAACAGCTGTGATTCTTCAACAATTCAAGCAAGAAAACATCTCAGCCGCCTCTTTCAGCTGGATATTTCATAGAAAGCAGTCGATTTGGCGACAGTTACGTAAACAATGGTGTCTTGGTTTGCGTGTTCATTTCATTTGACAGCCTTTCTTGAAGAAGTCATCCTGATTACGGGAGACTGAACGAATACTGGAGAGACCTTTGTGCGGAGTGTGTTGTTCACGTATCTAATAAATGGTAGAGCAGAGATAGAAACCCAGATTCTTCGGGTTCCACCGCTCTACTCCTAGATTAAACCACACTGATTTTCCCACCACGTTTTTAGTTTACAAAAATAATTTTGGCTGCTATCTGTGGGATGGGTTGGAAGTTAAGGAGGTCAGTGCAGAAGAACTGTTCAAAGTATTCCACTACATCTATAACCAAGGTTTAGCTTGTTGAATATTGAACATAGTATTCTATACTGTTAGTACTAATAATTATCACCATCACAGTATCAAAGAAACTTGCATAAATATTGTGTTTACAAAGTACCTTTAGGTCTTAACTAGGTAATTTGTTACAGTATGGTGTTCTTAGAGTTAGGGTTTATTACAGTATGATACTAACCCCACTTGTAAAATGGAGAAATGGATTTGAAAATTACCTAAAATCAAATAATTATGTTTGTGTACGTTCGATGCTTTTCAGAGTAGTTTCGTAATTACACTATTTCATAGCACCATCACCTGATGGCCTCCAGGGTCGTCTTCCATTTTTATGTGGGTTTTTTTTTTTTTTTAAATTTCTGAGAGAGAGAGAGAGAGCAGGGGAGGGTGAGAGAGAGAGGGTGATACAGAATGTGAAGCAGGCTCCAGGCTCTCAGCTAGCTGTCAACACAGAGCCCGACTTGGGGCTCGAACCCACCAACCGTGAGATCATGACCTGAGCCGAAGTCAGACGCTTAATCAACTGAGCCACTCAGGCGCCCCTCATCTCCCATTTTTAAGTCATTTCAGCAATTAAATTGCAACCTCCCCATCCTATCCTTGCCCACTGCTGTTATGCTGGGTGATGCCAGTGTGATGACTTTTCTAACATATTGGCCATAAACCTATCAGTTACAATAAGCAATTTCAACCTGTTCGAACCGTTTGTGGCTCAGCTACATCCTTACCAACTTCTCCAGCTTCAAGATCTCAAACTTCAAAATTAATTTCTGTTGTTCCCTGATGTCTCATTTAACCAAATCCTTAATCTTCATAACTTCTACATGCAATTTATGAAATATTTTTGCTTTAAAGTGGACTTCCCTAAAATATTACACAAATTTTAAATCACTTCTCTTTTCAGAAATGTGCAGTGGCTCCCATTGCCAATTCAGAGAGCATTTATGAAATGTCTCCATACTTTTCCAGCATATGGGAATGTTTTAAAGGCTCAACATGGCCATCTTTGGTGGGAAAGTAATATAGCAATGATGGCGGGTCAGCAATGAGTCAAAGCTCACCACCCTCTTACGTACCCTAAAACGCAGAAGAACTAATGGATAACCATCTCAGTGGTTCTCAAAGTGTGAACTAAGGAGTCTTGAGACCTTTTCAGAGGATCTGTAAAATCAAAACTACCTTCATAATATTAAGAAATTATTTGCTGTTTTCACTCATCTCATAATTTTACAGTAGATTTTTTCCAGAAGTTAGGTGACAAGTGATATAACAGTAGATTGAATGCGTAAGCAAATTTCAGAATCCAGCTTTTTATTAAACCAGACCTTAAAGAGATTTGCAAAAAACGTTAAACCATGCCACTCTTCTCACTAATCTTTTTACCTTGGAATAGTTATTTTTCATGAGTATATTTTTGTTATAAAAATAATTGTTTTAAAATGAATTACTAAGTATGATAGGCAGAATAATTATTCCCAAATATGTACACATTTTCCTAATCCCTGGAACCTATGAATACATTAGTTTACATGGCAAAAAAATTTTTTTGCAGGTGTGATTAAATTAAAACTCTTGAGATGGGGAGACTATCCTGAATTATCTGTATAGGCCTAATGTAATGACAAGGGCATTTATGAGTAAAAGATGGGGACAGGATGGCCAGAGTCAGAAAAGGAGATGTGACAATGGAAGCAGAAGTCAGACTGATGTGATTACTGGCTTTGAAAATGGAAGGAGGCACAGGGCAAGGAACGCAGGCAGCTTCTAGAAGCTGGAAAAGGCAAGGGAACAGATTCTCCCTTAGAGGCTCCAGAAGGAACATAGCCCTGGATGTTTTGATTTTAGTCCTGCGAAACCCATTTTAAACTATGACCTACAGAATTAGAAGATAATTTGTATTATGTTAAGCCACTAAATTTGGAGTAATTTGTTCCAGCAGGAATTGGAAATACAATTAAAAGCTCTATAAGGTCACCTTTTAAGCATGTAAGAAGGTTCTAAGACCAAAAAGTATGAGAACCACTGTTGTCAATAAATCTTGTGTCTTTCTCTCTTGGCTCCCTCTCTTCTCATCTTACCTCTTTGTGTTCTTATTGTCAAGAATGACCTTGCTCTTGTTAAAATCTTTGCCATTCTTTAAGACACATGTTGGGGCGCCTGGGTGGCTCAGTCAGTTAAGCTTCCAACTTCAGCTCAGGTCATGATCTCACGGTTCGTGGGTTCAAGCCCCATGTTGGGCTCTGTGGGACAGCTAGCTCAGAGCCTGGAGCCTGTGTTTCCCTCTCTCTCTCTGAGCCTCCCCTGCTCACGCTCGCACTCTCTCTCTCTCTCTCTATCTCTCTCTCAGAAATAGATAAAACATTAAGAAAAAAAAAAGACTCATGTTATATTCTACCACATCCTCCCTGATCATCTCAACCAGAAAACCTTTCCTTAACTTTGAATTGCCCCTGTGAATTGTTTATTTGCCTTGTATTTATGTTCTGTGCTCGTCTCCTTATTAAATGTGAACTCATTGAGACCAGTGTTTGATCCTTACCCATTTCAACTAGTATATGGTGTCATGGATTGTATATGCATAGAATATCTTAGCCAACAAGAAAGGGAGAGAGGTTTATTGTTTTCTGTTTGAATGAACATTAGAAAAAAATGTATGGTCACTAATTATGAAGAATAAAATAAGGAATGTAGAATTGTTTAGAAAGAGTAGAGATGCTGTTCTACCAAATAACAATCAGTGTTAATGATTAGAAAAAAAGTGTTGTGTGTGATATCCTTAGGATATTTACATTCATTTCATTATGTTTGGTGTTTAATTAAAAAAACAGTTTTAATAACATTGCTGTTTCCCATTTAGCCTGACATCCACCAACTTTGAATTGAAAATGGGTTATTTTCTGAAATTTAATAAAATGAGCAAAAAGAAACTGTGTTTCAAATCGTGTACTTTAAATAGATCTGTCAATCAAATGTTCCATAAAAATTTGAGAGCTTACTATATACCAGACACTCTTTACAGGCACTTCTTTTACAGCAGTGAAAAACAGTCTGGCATATAGAAGACATTCAATAAAGGAGATGTTCCCTTGATCATTCCTGTATTCATTTTTTTTCTCCTTCCTCGACTCCACCTCCCCGCTAAAACTTTTTTTTTAAATTCTCTTTTGACCTGGAGCTTTTAGACCCACTGCGACTGCCGTAGGGCAGGGTGGCAAGATGGCGGTCCCTGCCTTTGCCCGTGCCGTGAGAGCCGCATCAGGTCAGTGGAAAGCGATTATCCCCTCACAGAAAGCGGGACTGGCGCGGGACGGAGTAGGCGTTTAGCGTGGAGGTGAACAGGAAAAAAAAAAAAAGCCGGAGGATTGTTCCCGAAATTTCTTTGGGGCACTGCCTCGCATCGGACATTGCCGACACTCTTGGGCCCTCGCAGACCTGGGTGTCCCCAGGTTTCTGCTTCCTTACCGGCTCTTGGTCGTTCCGCCTTACCTAGAAAACAGACCGAAAGGACGGGACAGAAGGGGGACAGAGGAGACAGAGTCTCCGCTAACCTTCTGATTTAGAGGCTAGGATTCGTCACTCGTGACCTTTGGGCTCGAAAAAGTAATTTCTCCGAACCTCAGATTCTACAGCTCTAAAATGAGGACACCATCTACCTGAGGACTGAATGATCTCGTGCACGTAAAGCGCCCTGCGTAGTGCCTGGCACACAGTAAGCTTGTGTGTGTAAGAGTCCCACAACGTGCAGGGAATGTGACTTGTTTTGCGCACTCAGTCCCAGGCACAGGGACAGTCGTAAGGAATTCTTGACCGAGAGAGAGGACAGGAGTGAAGGCAATTAAGTTGCGTTCACTCTAAGGACTTCTACAAAAATATTTAAATGATAAGATTATGAGTAAATCAGTGAATCACAATAAATTAGAATAAAACTCTGTGGGAAAAGAATAGAAATTTAAAAAGCTACAATGTAAATTTTCCAATTATGACAAAAGAGCATGTTTAAGTGGAGTATTTTTGCCAAGATCACTTTCAGTCCAGATAGTCTTTGAATTTGCTTTTATGCAGATTTGACAAACATGGTTTATGCAGCTTCAGGATCTTCATAAAAAATTGGAGAAAATTAGGGAGCCAGGAAAAGACTTTCATCAGAAGAATGGCAGTCAACTAATTTGGGGATAGTTTCTAATCAGCTTGGAATTTACCTATCTATATACTATTACTCGGTTCACATTTCTTTATTTCTTTTGAATATAAAGAAATCTTTACACATGCCTTGCGAAAATCAGGATGCACTGTGTCTAGACATTTCCATGACTTCCCAGGCTAGGAACTGCATCAAAAAATGAAATGAAGTACTTTTTAAGGAACAATTCCCTCCCAATTGACACTGTAGATTTTTCTGCTGTGGGGATACATTCTAAGGGTTTTTTTTGGGGGGGGGGTTCCTACAGATGAGCCTGTAATTTACCCATTTGTATATTCTAGATCTTTACCTGCACACTTCCTTCAGGAGTGGTTTCCAGGAATTTCTGAGAGTTTTGGTTTTGGTTTTGGTTTTGTTTTAACCAAAACACCATAGATCTTTACCTGCACACTTCCTTCAGGAGTGGTTTCCAGGAATTTCTGAGAGTTTTGGTTTTGGTTTTGGTTTTGTTTTAACCAAAACACCATAGATCTTTACCTGCACACTTCCTTCAGGAGTGGTTTCCAGGAATTTCTGAGAGTTTTGGTTTTGGTTTTGGTTTTGTTTTAACCAAAACACCAAGTTCAGATGACCTTGTGAAAATTGGGACATTTTCTTGTCTAGAGTCCTCCTCTTCAATTCACTTAATCTTTCAAAGATTACTTCCTAGCTTGTAATCATGTCTGCAGATATTTTCAGTTCTTTGAAATATAAGTTATTTATACCTGGAAACTTGAATGCCTTGAACTGAGTACAGAATTTCATTTCTAAGTTCCCCGTGGAAGGGCTCTCTCAAATGTCTCCTGAATCATGCATTTCAGCTAACTAATTAATGTTCATGCCTTTTTTAGTTAGAAAATTGTTAGCTTCGATGGAGAACAGAAAAGCACAATATGGGTTTTAAGTAGTCAACCTTTCTCCTGCCCCCAGGTAACATTATACCATTTTTGCTAAGCATTTCTCTGCTCTTTATTGTCTGCTATTAGCAGTCATTAAATGCCTTCTCTGTGCCAACCCCTCTTCCTAGCACTTTTCACGTTTTATCTCATTTCATTGTTACCTCCCCATGATGAACCTTATTTAAATTTGAGGAAACTGGTGCAGAAAAGGGTTAAGTGACTTGCCCATGGTCACACAGCGAGTGAGGAGTAGAGCTAGGTTATGAACCCAGACAGTGTGACTACAGTACCAGTTCTTCTGTTCTGCACCACACTGCCTCTCATTTGTTATGTGAAATCAGGGCCATGGACAGTAAGGCAGAGGTTCTAAGCCCTGGCTGAAATCAGATTCCCCTGTGGAGTTTCTGTTTTTTTAATTTTTTTTTTTTTTTTTTTTAATTTCTGAGAGAGAGAGAGAGACAGCATGAGCAGGGGAGGGTCAGAGAGAGAGGGAGACACAGAATCTGAAACAGGCTCCAGGCTCTGAGTTAGCTGTCAGCACAGAGCCTGACACAGGGCTCAGACCGAGTAACTGAAATCACAACCTGAGCCGAAGTTGGATGCCCAACCGACTGAGCCACCCAGGCGCCCCTAAGTTTATTTATTTTGAGAGAGTGGCAGGGAGGGACAGAGAGAATCCCAAGGGGACAGAGAGAGGAAGAGAGAGAATCCCAAGAAGGTTCCATGCTGTCAGCTCAGAGCCCGATGAGGGCTCGAACCCACAAACTGGGTTCTGGACCTGAGCAGAAATCAAGTGTCAGACGCTCAACTGCCTGACCCAGGTGCCCCAGAGCTTTTTTTTTTTTTTTTAAACCAACTATTGAGGTATAATTTACATACCATAGAATTCCTGTCTTATGTGTACAATTTGACAATTTTTAGTAAATTTAATGGGTTGTGCAACCATCTCTACAATCTAGTTTGGGGGCATCTCCCTCATCCTGTGGAGCTTTTTTCAGTGTGCACAATCTTCAGTCTGATACGAGACTCCCAGCCTGAGTGGAGTCCGTGCTCCACTGACTTCACAGGCCTGGCTCTTACTTTGGCAGTAATGTGAAGAATATGCATTCCGTCTACACAGCTCGTCCCCCACCCTGTCATGTACCTTCTGATCTGCCCCCAGGCATCTCCACACTTAGCTCAGGCAAGCAGTGCTCAGCCTCTGGCAGGTCCAGTCCCCGCTCCAGGCAAATGTTTGCCTCAGCCCTCTTGCCTTTGTGTACATTCATCTCATCTGGGCTCTCCACCTCCTCTTGTGGCCTGTTCATTTTCTAGAGAGGAGCTCTAGTACCTCTTTTGTTTTTATGAATCCTTCCCTTACTACTCTGTGGCACCTGCAGAATGGCCCTGGCTTTCGCATCTCTGCCTTGCCATTGTGCTGTGTGGCATGGAGCCCTGCCTCATCAGAGTATAAGATTGGGTGGGTGGGACTTAATGTTACAATTATTTTGTTCCCTACTGTTGAACACAGAACTAGAACACATCAGAGTGGATCGTGGTCATGGTTGCACAGCTTTCTAAGTTTATTTTAAAAGTATTGAATTAACACACAATTGGGTAGTTTTGTGGTATTTAAGTTACACCTCAATAAAGTTGGTGAAAAGCTCCACAGGGGAGTCTAATGCTCACCTTGCCTTGATACATTAATTTTAAACATCTGTATGCAGATTTTGGCGTATCATATTAAATATGTTTTTCTCTCTTTACAGGACTCTTACAGCCCCTAAATACTTTGGCGTCTTCCGCCTACCAAAACGGTGTCAAGAATGCCTGTCTTAGTTCTGCACTGTCCACCCGGCTTTTTAGTTCTCTGCAGACGCCAGTTGTTTCCTCTGCTCCCAGACTTGCCATGTCTGTCAGAAACCTGATGTGTGGACATGCTGCAGCAGTCCTCAATAGGTAGAGTATATTTCAGTAAACATGATGCTCAGACAAAAATTCTCAAACACTTGTGCCTGCAAAGACGTTTTATTTATTTATTTTTTTAAATGTTTTATTTATTTCTAGAAGAGAGAGAGAGAGACAGCGTGAGCAGGGGAGGGTCAGAGAGAGAGGGAGTCACAGGCTGAAACAGGCTCCAGGCTCTGAGCTGGCAGTCAACACAGAGCCAGACAAAGAGATCGAACCCACAAACCGCGAGATCATGACCTAAGCGAAAGTCGGACGCTTAACCGACTAAGCCACCCAGGCGCCCCTGCAAAGACGTTTTAGAGGCAGATAATACCTGTTTGCCTACCTGCAATTTATTATGTAGACTTTGCCTGGTAGAGGGGAGGGGGAGAATATGAGTGATAGCCATATGCCTACCTGCCAGCAGCAGGGACTACCAGAGAGAGCACACTTCTGATGTTCTAGATGTGGTTTCCTAGATGGAAGCTGTCAGCCAAAGCAGAGGGTGAATGAGAGCCTCTGCAAGCAAGGCTGCTATTCAGTCAACAAATATTTAGTTACAGACTCCTGGGTGCCCAGTCCTTGGCAGAAAGGACACAAACATAAACTGAAGTCCTCAAGGAGTTTGAGATAACTCCGAATAGATAAGAAGTCAGGTGATTATAATAGGATACATTCTCTCATGGGATCGAGGAGGCAGATTATGGAAGGCTTGCAAGTTGGCAATAGTCGTTATTCTTATTTATGCTTAGCGTCCATGATCATTTGAAGTACCAATGTACATTAAAGTCAGCTGTATTCCAGTGGAGCTGCTCCACTCATTTTTTTTTTAAGTTTATTTATATGGGGGGAGGGGGAGAATGAGTGGGGAAGGGGTAGAGCGCAAAGGGGAGAGAGAGAGAGAGAGAGAGAAAATCCCAAGCAAGTTCCACACTGTCACTGAAGAACCTGATGAGGGGCTTGAACTCATGAACTGTGAGATCATGGCCTGAGCCAAAAATCAGGAGTTGGATGCTTAACCAACTGGGACACCCAGGTGCCCCAACTCATTTCTAAGTATAGAAATGGATTTTATCTTTAATGGGTCTTATTGCTGAGTTAAATTTTTTAAAATCTATTTAGAGCAGCTCCCTTGCTTCCAAATGTCCTGAAGCTACCAGTCAGAACCATAACATACTTCAGTTCACGGAAAGGGAAGAGAAAGACCGTGAAAGCTGTCATCTACAGGTTTCTTCGACTTCATTCTGGCCTGTGGCTAAGGAGGAAGGTGAGTCTTCACACTATTAGATTGCAAAAGGATTGGGAGCAGATTAAAAGAAGCAGAATTCACTGAGCTTATTCATTGATATACCTTCCATTCATTTACCAGTAGCTTTTACAGTGCTGTGCCTAAGTACCAGTTCGCCAAGCATCTCTTAATAAATTCATGTGAAGAAAACATGTTTAAGCATTCATAAAACAAAATGCTATTCACAATAGCTAAAGTCTTCACTGTGGGATGGGTCCGTCTTAGGTCTTTTACGTGTCTGGTGCATCTGATGACCACCAGAAGTCCTTTGAAACCCCCAGTGTGTAATAACCTAAGGGGAGGCTCTGTTTAAGCCTAGCGTGTTAGAGCAGCAGACTTGCCTTCAGCAAGGACTTAGTCTTGTGGCTCAGATTGGGGACTGAAGGGCTTTTCAGCCAATTTTGGAATGGATGCGCCGTGGCTTAGTCTTTATGACAGAACATTAACCCCACATACATCTTTTTTAACTTTATGTTTTTCTCTCTGTTGGTGTGTATGATTGGGGTCTGTATCAGACAGAACCCTAACACTTTCTCTGGGCTGGGACCACAGCCTGTGGGGGGAGGCCTCTGACAAATTACTGCTCTGTCCCCTCCCACAGCATGTTGTAAGCGTGAATGTGGGCTTTTTCATTCACGCCTTTATTCACGGAAACAGAGTAGGTAAAGATGAGAAAGCAGTTGAAGACTACAGCTTTGTAAAACTACCTTTGAGTGTTGATAACTATTCAAATTCTAATTCCCTTTCACTACCTGGAAGTTAATGAGTGATTCTTAAGGTTCAAAATTTGTTTCTCCATAAAAATAAAATATTTATTGGTGGGATTTTTACTAGTTGAAAGGTTGAAAGGATTATCTCTTAACATATAAATAATCCTAAATTTATAGGTAAATGGGTTGATTGGAACTCTCAGCTTATTCCTTCTTTGGAACAATACTGTGGTAGTTCCGTTTGCTACCCCTGTAATTAGAAACTCATGTAATCCTTAAGTAGTTGAACTAAGTAAATTTAGTTCAGTTAATAGTTCTGAATTTTGTGAATTTTGGACCATTGAAAAATTTCCTCCCCTTTCTTGTCATACTGATTATTCCCAGGTCTTCATCTAGTCCTAGATTAAGTAAGATGGGTAGTTTTCTTTGCCTTCCTTTCTATGTCCCTTTTATTGGGCTCTGACACCTTCATGTTATTATACAGGACCAGATCAAATTCTCCAGTCATAATGCCAAGTTCCCACTCAAGGCCCCAAAAGTATTCTATATGTAGAATGGCCCACTTCATCAAAATGTAATTTTAAGGGAAAAACAAAAAAGCTGGGTGGGTTAATTTATATTCATGTATAAAAACTGAAAATACTTTCTGCAGCACAGTTTTATTCCCTCCCATTTCTGAACCTACAGATTGCCTGAAAAGTTGCAAGCACTTTCATAATGGTTGTGTCCCATAAAATAATGATCAAAGGATACTTGTGGTAATAGGCAGGACAGCAAATTAACTGTAAGTCAGAAATCCACAGGGACTCAGTTTGGCTTACAAACTAAAAGATTATTACACAAATAAGGGGACTTGGGTTTGAAGCTTTCAATTTAAACTGTAAGCAATGAGCAATAAAAATCTAATCTCTGGCATTTTAAAATCAGATCTCTTGGGGCACCTGGGTGGCTCAGTTGGTTGGGCGTCTGACTTCGGCCCAGGTCATGATCTCATAGCTCGTGGGTTCGAGCCCCGCATCGGGCTCTGTGCTGACAGTCCAGACCTAGAGCCTGCTTTGGATACTGCGATTCCTTCTCTCTCTGCCCCTCTCCCTCTCGTTTTCTCTCTCTCTCTCTCTCTCTCTCTCAAAAGTAAATAAAAACATTAAAAAAGTTTTTAAAAATGACAATTTAAAAAAATCAGAACTCATTTAAATAACGTTTTCTTATTTCTGAGTATGACTGTACTGTAGAAGTTCCTGGTCACAGTGATGATACCAAGACATTTGAGAAACCCAAGGTGACTTCTCAGCCCAGGGCTGTGGTTTTGTTCAATTTGTGTAGAGCCCTAATAAGTAAAGAGACCTTGTCTTGAAAGGACCCAAGGGCTCTTGGCAAAAGCTTGAGTTCTAGTCTCCCTCCCCGACCTCAACTTTCTGTGTGGTTTTAGCCACATATCAACCTGGGTGGCACCTAAGGTCTCTTCTGGTCTAAACAGACTATTCTTGTAGTTTTCACATTCAATCTAATTTTTCTTCAAACATTAATTATTTTCTTTCAAAAATTCTTCAAATTTAACAATGCTTGGATGATGTATATGGCAGTTCTGAGTTAAACATACAGGCCAACTATTCCTTCACCCCTCCCAATAGCAATTTTATTGTATTTGGTATTCCTTAGAAAAGTACTTACAGAAATTGGTCCCTAGTGTGAAAGGAAGAAATGAAGCAATATACTTGGAAGCTCTGCTTGTCAGCTCTTGTAATACCTAGTCCCCTTAAATGAACATAAATGGTATCAGCCTAGCCAGTGATGTCCTTCATCTTCCACACTGGGAAAATAGTAGAGTAGTGGTTAAGAACTCTTACTAGTTCTGTGACCTCAGTCCGCTAATTTACTTCTTTAATCAATGGTTATTTCTCTTTAATCTGTAAAGTGAGAATAATGGTATGTTGTTGAAGATTGTTGAAGAGATCATAAGGTAATGTGTATAAAGTTAGCAATTATAACTATATATCATCACCCTGTACTTTGCCCACCACAGAGATTCATCAAAGTATTAAATTACTGATATTTGTTTTTCCAACTGCACATGGTTTTTCTGTATCTGCCCCTCATTGAGATACATCTTTCTGAAAAATATACCAGCCCTAATGAAAGTCTCATCTTTGTTCCCATTGGACCTATAAATAGTGAAGATATTTATTGTTTCCTATATAACATCATGTTTTGAATGTCTTTATAATATCTAACAGGCTGGTTATAAGAAAAAATTATGGAAAAAGACGACTGCAAGAAAAAGGCGCCTGAGGGAATTCGTGTTCTGCAGTAAAACCCAGAGTAAGCTCTTAGATAAAATGACAACGTCTTTCTGGAAGAGGCGAAACTGGTATGCTGATGATCCTTATCAGAAGTACCATGATCGGACGAACCTGAAGGTATAGATCCGAAGTTTTACGACCTCCCGGTGACTGAACATGTATCTTTGTGTATATGATGCCTTTGCAAAAATGAATAAGTATATAACCTGATGTAAATCGTGACAGTTGGTATGGAAACACAGCTCCAACATTAAACTTGAATGTTTTAAAACTCAATGGATTAAACATTTCAAAATTTGTTCAGGGAAATAGGAGTTTAAAATTGTTGATTATTTTTAACAAATGGTAATGGCTTAACTATTTCCACTTAGGCTTATTTAGTTGCAATAAATTTCAAGTTCGGGCAGGCATAAGAAGACTGTAAAGCTAACAAGTTACCTCAAGCAGTGTGACATTATTTGAAGTATGTGTGCCTGGGAACTTGGGAACCATCGCACCAGCCCCACCCCCCACCCAGAAATAACCCCCAGGTCTCAGGAAGGAACAGAAATCATAGGGTGTTTCAAGATCCAAGGTACCTCTAAGCGCCTCAGCAGCAAAAGAGGCTAGATTTTTAGGCTTGGGGGTCTGCTATGCTTGTGACTCAGTTTCTGCCCCCATAATAATTCTAGCTCGTACCTTTCAGGTTGTTTTCTGCATGCTAACCCTCAGCTCCCATCTCCAGGCTCTAATTGCCAAGACTCTAACTAGGCCAGCTTATGTCTTCAACACCAGGTCTCAACAGGGGTCACAGACTGGTGTCAGGAGCTCACCCCGCCTCACTTGGTTGTGTTAGCAGGTTCACATGGAGCAGTTTCACTTAATGGTGAGCATGGAGTGGCAGCACATGTCTAGTATTCTAGGCTTATTGTGTCCATAACAGTCTGTAGTTTATTGGAACAGGATTTTTATAGGGAGAAGAGTAAACACCCTTTCGGTATGCCCATTCGTGAAACAGAAGAGGCTTTACAGGTGAGGACAAAAACTTTTTTTTTTTTGAGGACAAAAACTTCTTTTTTAAGAGTTGAAGGCACTGTATTTTCTAAAAGATGATTTATCTACCAGAGATTTCATATTTTTTTTTTTTTAAATTTTATTTTTTTTCTTTTTTTTTTTTTGTTTTTGTTTTATTTCTAGGAAAGAGAGACAGCGTGAGCAGGGGAGGGTCAGAGAGAGATGGAGTCACAGACTGAAACAGGCTCCAGGCTCCGAGCTGGCAGTCAGCACAGAGCCCGACGCGGGGCTCGAACCCACAAACCGCGAGATCATGACCTAAGCGAAAGTCGGAAAGTCGGACGCTTAACCGACTAAGCCACCCAGGCGCCCCAGAGATTTCATATTTTTAATTGTGAGAATAAACATTTTCCAAAGGCACATTGTAGAAACTAAGTGAGAGTTAAGCATTGTTTACTTGAAGAGGGCTGAGTAAGAGGCATTGAGGAAAATTCTGTTCACTGTGTGGTTAAAGCTAGGGCGGTGGTTCTGAGCTGTCCCATCAGACATCTGGGACAGAAAATGCATCTGGGAAGCATTTTCAAACAAAAGAGCACTTGGTCTGGTGGAGAAACCACTATAGATCTGAACCAACTTAAGATGGGGTTACATCCCAATAAACCTGTTGTAAATGGGAAATATTGTTAAGTTGAAAATGCATTTAATACACCTAAGCTACCAAATATTGTAGCTTAGCCGAACCTACCTTATGTGTGCTCAGAATACTGCATTAGCTTACAGTTGAGCAAAATCTTCTAACACAAAGCCTATCTTATACTAAAATGTTGACTATTTCATGTTTATTGAATATTGTACCAAAAATGAAAAACGGAAAGGTGGTGCGGGTGAGGATGGTTGTAAGTCTGTCAGTTGTTTACCCTTGTGATCATGTGGCTGACTGGGAGCCTCGGCTCATTCTCGTTCACACTGCCCAGCATCACGAGAGAGTATCCTACCACATATCACTAGGCCAGGAAAAGATCAAAGTCACAGTATAAATACAGTTTCTAGTGAATGTATGTTGCTTTCATGCCATTGTAAAGTTGAAAAATCCAAATCAGACCGTCGTAAGTCATGGACCATCTCTGTTAATTAGAATTCTGCTTCAATTCCTACTTCAAATCCTTAATGTAATAGTTGATAATAGATGAACTTCTCTATTGTTAATAGAATAAGGTTAAAGGTAACCAAGTTGAAATTCTGTGGCAAGTCAGGCTGGGATTAATAGAGGAATTTCTTGAAACCAGTGCCTGTTCCTTAAAAGGGAAAGGGATGACGATAAAGTGTTCTAAAACTAGAAGGCCACCTGTATGTCTGTTTATGTGACCAATTAATGAAGAGCAGACATTCGATTGCAGAGGAGGTAAGACTGCAGCATCCAGTGGCTTCTGTTTTGATGGGTTTTCGTTTCCTCGTGACTTCTGAGATGGCAGAATCAAACCACTTACAAGGTTTCCACATCACTTCTCACCTGCCTGACCCCTGCCTGTACTCACCCTAGTAGCAGGATGGGACTGGTGCCTGAAGAGGTTGAGAAAGAGGCCACTTTCCCCCTGCCTCTGTGACTCCGCTAGTGCAAATACAGACAACAGAGCTCTCGGTTATGGGGCCTCGGGGTGCCTTGGTTTCTCCCATAGGCCCAGGGTAGGAGGGGGAAAGATCAGCACCGGCAGCCAGGCCTCCGCATCCAGACACAGACTGAGGTGAAGGGCTGCCACCTGTATGATTTCAGAGAAACGGGATTTCCGTGTATATGATTGTTGTTTTATGGGTAGCAGGGCTTATCATCAACACTGATTTTACACTTTGACAACCAAACATCTTTCATTAAAGAGTCCACCTAAATGGCACTGAAATTTTTGTGAAAGTATAATTTATCGAACACCAACTCTGTCCCAGCATAGGGATGGGCATATAAATACAAAACTGAATCCTCATAAAACCTCTCAGGGGAGGTTTTAAGTTTTTTTTATTTATTTTTATTTTTAAGCAAATGTTTTAAATTTTTTAAAAACTTTTTAAATGCTTTTTTATTTATTTTTGAGAGTCAGAGAGAGCACAAGTAGGGGAGGGTCAGAGAGAGAGGGAGACACAGAATCTGAAGACAGGCTCCAGGCTCTGAGCTAGCTGTCAGCACAGAGCCCGACTCAAACCCATGAACTGTGAGATCATGACCTGAGCTGAAGTTGGACGCTGAACTGACTGAGCCACCCAGGAGCCCCACTTTATTTATTTATTTTTAGTAATTTCTACACCTGTTGGTGGGGCTCGAACCCACGACCACGAGATCAAGAGTCTCACACTCTTCCAACTGAGGCAGCCAGGAGCCCAAGGGAGATACTTTTTAATCCCTAGTTTAGATTTCAGGAAATCCCAGCTTATAGAAGGTTAAATAAATTACCCAAAATACAGCTAATAAGTCACAGAACCTAGGTCTAACTTCTCGGAATCCGGTGCATTTCCTGGAGTCTTTTAACATGAAAAGTCATATCTAAATCAACAAGTGACTATAATCTAGCACTATAAATACTAAATACTTATTCATGACACTGTACCAAGTCAGCCTTTGCTTTTCTGTTCTGTTAACCAGTTCTTCACCTGGTTAATCTCAGTTCTGTTGCCATTGGACTTAGCTCAATAAATGAATAAATGAATGGATTTTCAGCCTTTCTTTTCACCTCTTTGTCTTCCTTTCAGCCTTCTGAATGTGCTCCTTTACCTGCTACTGCTTTCTTTTATAGTCTTCATGCCAAACATACAGAATATAAAACTATAAAGGCAAAGAAAATGAGTGTTGCATTTAAGTGTTCAAGTCTTTGTGACCACCCAGTGAGGCTTATCTGTGCCTGTTCATATTTCTTTTAATGTTTACTTCTGTATTTTGAGAGAGAAAGAAAACATGTGGACATACCTGTGTGCACAGGGGAGGGGCAGAGAGAGAGAGGGAGAGAGAATCCCAAGCAGGTTCCATGCTGTCAGCACAGAGCCTGACAGGGGGGCTGGAACCCACGAACTATGAAATCATGACCTGAGCCGAAATCAAAAGTTGAATGCTTAACCAACTGAGCCATCCTGGAGCCCCTGTTTTTGTTTTTGTTTTGTTTTGTTTTGTTTAAGTAAACTCTACAATCAGCATGGGGCCCAAACTCAGGACCCCAAGATCAAGAGTCACAGGCTCTACTGACTGAGCCAGCTAGGCACTCAGCCTGTTCATGGTTTGTTTTTTTTTAAAGATTTTTTTAAATTGTTTATTTTTGAGAGAGAGTGTGTGAGTTGGGGAGAGGCAGAGAGAGGGAGACGGAGTATCCAAAGTGGGCTCTGCACTGACAGTTGAGAGCCTGATGTGGGGCTCGAACTCACGAACTGTGAGATCATGACCTGGGCCGAAATCAAGAGTTGGACGCTTAACCGACTGAGCCACCCAGGCGCCCCAGCCTGTTCATATTTTAAAGACAGGGCTGCAGCGGTACTAAGGGCAACCATGCCACCCAGGAGGCCTCTGCACAGTCCACCTTCTTCTGACCTACACGTGCACTCCTTCATTTGCAGGTGAGGGAACTGGTACCAAGAAGGAAAACGATAGACCAAATTTCTGCTTACCAGATGAGCTGGTTTACCTTTATAGCCACACGAATTCCACTAGTGACTTTAAAAATGTAAAACACTACCAGGTTTATATTTATGTGATCATTTTAATATTTTTCCCACCGCAACAATTCCATGCAGTAGGCATGGGGTCAAGGCACCAGGCCAGTTAGTGACTGAGCACTCAGCTTCTAAAGCTTGCTACCTTCCACACTTTAAAAAAAGTATTTTCCCTTTCTGGGGCTGCTGGGTGGCTCAGCTGGTTAAGCATCCCAACTCTTGATTTTGGCTCAGGTCATGATCTCACAGTCACGGGATCGAGCCCCATGTCGGGCTCTGCGCTGAGCATGGACTCTGCTTGAGATTCTCCGTCCCACTCTCTCCCTGCCCCTCCCCAACTCAAGCTTTCTCTCTTTCAAAAAAAATAAAAGTAAACATTTTAAAGTATTTTCTCTTTCCTCATAAGCTCAACATTACAAAGATTTTTTTTAAAAGAAAAATGTTAAGACTTTATTCAAGGTATGTATCAGGCATTATAACAAAACAGCAGAACTTCAACCTTTGGAATATTGTAATTTTACATCCCTTTGATGCACAGTCCAGTATACTATTTTATTACAAATCATTCTATAGGGACTACAGGAATAAACTAGGGAAACTGCACAGTCACAGTCGAGAACGTCAGCTCTTTGAGTGGGTGCCTTTTGAGAATGAAGCACATCCTTTGCCATTTCAAATACTGTGCAAAGTGAAGACTAGGAAGGTACTCAGCTGTGGTCATGGTGGACAAGCACTGTTATCACAAACACACAGACAGTTTACTATAGAAAACACACATTTCAGAGGCCAGTGAGGTGAGAAAGCTATTCGCACATAGCCAGGAGGGATTATGCCTCCATTCTCTAGAAGTCTGCCACCCCATCTCACCTCCTCAGAAACAAAACAGGTGCTCCATGGCAAATAATGAAAAGTTATTACATGAAAATTACAGACGTTCAAGCTAGCATTTTGTAAACAGCCCATGTCTGTAAATCAGCAAATGAAAAACGTTCAGTTAATATCCTCTAGACAGAACACCACAGCACTACAGGTACACTTGGAGGCATTCACATTTTATGTCAGTCCGTACACAGATACACAGCTTGTTGGGTAAGTAAACACATTTTGCCAGAAATATGACAGCTGCTCTAGTTTGTACAGTGAGTGTTTTTAAGAGAGAAACCAACTCCCTAATCAACACTTGAAGGAAAAATAGTTACATTTACATTAAGACAGCAGTTTGGATACCTTTAAATTTTTTAAATCTTAAATGAGCAGTAATACAGCATGTCTGAGAATAGAGTGCTTCAAACTTGTTTTTGGCATAGTTGAGTGCAAACTTGATAGCTTGTACTTGTTAAAACTTTACATTGTAAAATGTGAAAATATAGTTTGTTCACGAAGGATCTCTGCTGCTAAAGGCATTTATTGTTTTGGCAAAAAAACAAAACAAAACAAAAAAAACATTGCTAAAAAGCTGCTTAAGCTGTTTCTGAAAATTCTGGGTACTCCCAACTAACAGGCAAATACATTGAAAGCATGTATTTTTCCTCTGAAACTATTCAGTGAGATTGAAGAAAACAGATATTCTGTCTTCTCTAATGGGTTTGGGGCACATATAAGGTGCCTATGTTTGCCCTCTGAACCACAAATTTGCTTTTAGATTTCTTTTCCTAAATCCTACTGTAAATTACAAAGTCACCTTCAGAGGAATTGTGGGAAGAAGGGATTTAAATGTGCATATCTGGCAACAATCAACTTCACCTAAAACCCTTTCAGGGGTGGCTAAGATCCAGCCAGCGTGTCGTCAGCGAAGACTACTGATATATGTTGGCGTAGCTCAGTATGGAACAGTCTTTACCTGGGCCTGTTTATAGCCGGTTGACAGTAAGTTCTACATGGTACATAACACTAATTCTCTAGTCTTCAGGGCATATCTATGAACAAACACAATCCAAGTATTATAAGTGACTGGGTTGTGACCACTGCATGCATTACACTGAAAGCAAACACCAACTCTAAGCACAAATATACAAGTCCTACATTTAGGCTCAGCTCTCCAAGGGGGTGGGTAGCAGCTACCTCGGACTGAAATGCTATGTAAACCAGATTCTTTTCAGATAAAGTTCTCAGTCTAAGTAGAGAGTCCCCATACCTAGTGCTCTATTATACTAAGCGATCCCGGCTCGCATAAGATGTCTGGTAAGACGTAGAGTGCCCACAAGCACAACTTCTCTCACATTCTGCACAAGCCGGGAAGGGTGTGAGCCACGGCTGCTCAGGGAGCTGAGCAGCAGGTCAGCAGGTCAGTCCATAAAGATCTCAACCTCTGAAACCTTTCTAGAACCCAGCATTTTGACAGGTGTCTCAGACATATTTGACAGCATATCTGAAACATATGCTGTTTTAGGTTTGTTTTGTTTTGGGTTGATTGGTTGGTTTTGCTTACTGTTCTCTTAATCAAGGTGCTCAGATTATAGGCTCCTCTACCTGGAGAAATAAGTCACAGAACTTGTTACTATGAAGGAGAAATAGCCATTTGTCAAGCACTGATGGAACACTCAAAATGATTCCTCACATCCTCAGTAAGTTTTACCAAGGGTGAGCCACCCGCCTAAGGCATCAGTAAATCCCTTGACAAAATTCAGAAGCTCTTAATCTGGAATCCAGGGGGAGACCAGCTTCTTGTGACCTCTCTTATTCTGGGCTCTTCCAGTGGCCTCATTACAATTGTGTCTGTCATCACAATATTATCTCTTCATTCTAAACATCTCTGGTCTATTGACTAAACATCTGTCTGAAGAATATGAACCATCATCCTTCAGGAAAAGGGATGTTTTACTGGAGTTGAATTTGGAAGCTTTATAAGCACATCTGAGACTTTCTCTAGAATCAAAATAATTTTTTACATATCTTGTAGTTTTCTTACATATCAGAACCTCTGGCAGCCCTTGCGAGTCCATTATATTAAGCCAAAAGCCATAAATATGTACACTGTAGTCCAAAGTACTAATACCAAGAACAAAAAAAAAAGAAGAACTTTAAAAAATTGGTTTGCATTTACAGGACTAAAAACGAAGTATGCAACAAATAAATTACAAATGTACATCTCAGCAGTGTGAGGGTGATCTCTTATATTTCTAAAACCACACTGCTGATAATCCAATTGCAGAAAATTACTAACCTCAAGACTTAAAGGTCACCCCCCACATCCCCCCACACACATACCTTTCCCTTTAGCCTCTCCTCAACGAAATAAAGAAAAGGAAAATAAAAATCTTAAAAGTGTAAGAGGAGAGAGAGAAAAGGCCGTGTCTGTGAGGCTGCACACTCAAAGCACGCCAGCTTGCAGATTTCTATGTTATTAGTGACTAGCTCTTTAAGGCAGAGAAGAAACATTCTGTGGGTCCGGTGCTGTTGGCTCATCTCACTCACGTGGTTTCAGTGGCTGAGGATGAGGTACTTTTCTTCCTAAAGCGGGATCGAAGCACTCTAGGCGGTGCCTGGCAGAGAAAACAGAAAAAGCCATCCCTCAATTTGGTGTAGGCGTGGAACCCTTTTTTTTAAAAATTTTACATTTATTTATTTTTGAGAGACAAAGAGAAACAGAGCACAAGTGGAGGACAGGCAGAGAGGGAGACACAGAACCCGAAGCAGGCTCCAGGCTCTGAGCTGTCAGCACAGAGTCTAACATGGGGCTCAAACTCATGAGCCTTGAGGTCATGACCTGAGCCAAATTCAGATGCTTACCAGACTGAGCCACCCGGGTGTCCCTGAGTGGAACCTTTTGAGGTGAGCACCTGTGTGCATTTGGTGTTGAGACACACAGCTCCTTTGGCCATACACACACGTGTGTGACACAGTCAGCTGGGGTGGAGGGCTCACTCCTAAGCAGGAATCAGGGTCACACCCCAAGCATCCCGAAGCTGAGCACCTCCCTCCCTCTTCATGCTCCTAAGTCCCTGAGTCTCCCAAACGAATGGTTGTGCAGAAGGATGACACACTTTTCTTGTTTCTGCCTCAGGAGCAATGATCCTAACAAGTGACTCAGCACAGAGAAATGCCTCCCCATCTCTTCCTTTGTTTTTGTTATTTCCTTTGGGAACCAGCCTCATATTTCTAGGTACGTGCTTAAAATTTCCATCACCAAGTTTCTGGTGTTCTTTCTGGGTGTGAAATCCTTTAATGCACAGCAAGCCGCACGGCAAAGGGAAACATTGTCCTTAAGTATAAAGGTTTCCACCTCATCTCCACTAAAAATCACTATCAAGGAACATGCAGATCACAGAAATTCCTTCTACAATGCAAAAAAAGGAAATTTTTGTCCTGGCATAGCACTCAAGGCCAGGGGTTGGGGGAGAGAAGGAGTGCGGTCACACAACTGGCTCCAAGCTACCCTCAACCCTTATCTCTGTCCACTTCTCTCTACTAACTTCTTTTTCTGTGGCATTCTTCCACACCTCTGTCCTTCTGACATGAAGCCCTTCCCTCCCTTCTCTGTCCTGCTGTTTATTGTTCTCTTTAGGACCCAGCTCAAAAGTCACTCCTGAGGCCCTCTCCCTACAGCCCAGTCACACACAACCAGGGTCACCTTCTTTGCTCTCCTAGTGTTTTACACACGAGAGGACAGCAGGGGACTTTGCATCCTTGGCAGCGTGTGTTTGCTCTGCTCCCTGTCTCCCTCTCCACACTGTGAACTTCCAGAGGGCAGGTCCACATTCTCCTTTTCCTAGTTAAGTAGCTCAGTGCCTGGAGGGCACACAGAAGGGAAAGAGGGAAAAAGGGAGAACAAAGCAGGAAATAGGAAGTTCTGGTCTTCCACATCCTGAGTCCTTCACATCACCATTTTGACTAGGAAATGTTTACCAGCTTCCTCTGGACTCAGAGTAAAAGAGGAATCAGCGAAACCTACCTTTAGGAACCTGCCTCAGGCTATTTACAGTAAACAGTAAAAGCAGCTTGTGCAGTCTTAACACAACAAAAACAAAGTGGCACAAACTCTTAGACCCCACCATGTTTTGGGCACCTTCCATGTGAAAGCTGAGCCCCTCCCCCCATCACGGATTTGCCCAGGCTGTGATGGAACCCAGAGCATCTTTTACCGAAACCTCTAACTTCAGAATTGATCTACGTGTGCCCCACCCTTGGAAAGGAATCTGATAACCTCGGTTCTAGTCTGAATAGGATCGACAGGCCATGGTGCTTGAGTAGGAGAACATTTCAACGCATCCCCTCAACTTAGTCTCACGGGGTCCCTACGCTGAGACCAGGAGGACTCCCAACTTGCCTCAGCTGGACTTTCAGGCCACAGTATTCGGCAGATGGGGGCATAGAAGAGACGTGAGGGGCAGAGAGGAAGACTCAGGGGTCCCCAATTCTGCCAGCTCCATACCTGAGTCTAAGACTGGTGCCTCCCTACTGCCAGGGCTCTAGGCTTAGCCCTCCTGCTGCCAAAACTCCATGCATAGTTCCAATTGGCCACAATACATCTCTCAAGTATATTTGATTTGGGTCCTTTTAGAGGGCTGTGCCCTTTCAGTAACAGTTTATCAGTATTAGCTTTGTACTAAGCACTATTGCTGTGTCTTGGAGATCCAGTGATGAACAAGCTTTATTTATACAAAATTTGCCAAATAACACATTTTCTTCCCCTAAAACACACATTTGGGTTGCTTTTCATTTATGTATCATCTTATGTTCGTAGTTGTAAATTTTTATTAAAATTTTTTTAAATGTTTATTTATCTTTGAGAGAGAGAGAGAACGTGGGAGCTAGGGAGGCAGAGAGAGAGGGAGACACAGAATCTGAAGCAGGCTCCAGGCTCTGAGCTGTCAGCATAGAGCCTGACGCGGGGCTTGAACTCATGAACTGTGAGATCATGACCTGAACTGAAGTCGGACGCCCCACCGACTGAGCCACCCAGGAGCAGTTGTAAATTTTAAAATTTTATTTTCGATACTGTCCTATTTTCTAAATAAAACGAGCAGAGTCTTCTTCACCCCTGGGCCAGTCTCTGGATGCTATCTAGTGGTCTGTCCTGTTTGATGGGGAGAGATCTTCCTACCCCAGGTGCTCAGGAGATGCTGGGTGACCCAAGAGATGCCACTCCTAGGCCCCCCCAGATCTCCAGGGCAAAGTCCTTGTGCAAACACATGCTCTACCCCCCAGCCCCAAACACCGTGTACCTCCAGGGGGAACTCCGTCTTTCGAGGCGCCTTATACTTGTACATGAAATCCAACAGGTCTTCCTCCTCCTCGTCCGAAAATGCCAACGGGTTTTGGACCTCGTGGGGTTCCCATGCCTTCACACCACCCTCATTCACATCTCCCTCAACCACTTAATGTCCATTTACAATCTACACAAAGGAGACAAAGTACAGCAGGGAGGGATCAGCGGAGAAAGGGGCCAGGAAGGGCAGGCTAGGACAAGGTTAGACACACAGCACGACAAGCCACGCCTGTTAGGACAGCCGAGGTCCCCTGTGTCTGAAGAAGCAGCCAGTATCCTCCAGGCCTCCCTGCAGGCCGGTCCAGGACTGTGAGGTTTCAACTGGAGACTGGCAGGCGCAGTGCGCAGGACAAGCAGAGGCCCCAGAACCTGATAAGCTGGTAAGCATAACTGATAAGCCGCCAAGCGATGTGGGGGCACCACTGCCCTGGGAAAAAGAAGACGCCATCTTAACTGAGAGGTGTCAAACCCTGCAGCTCGGACGTGTGATGCCAGGCCAGAGTGCTCAGGGGAAGAATCCCCTCTAGAAAGTGATCTGAAGGGGGGACTAGAGCTTCCTCTCTTACAGAGACAAGCCGTGTTAACTGTGCACTATAGCTGCATACTCAGCTCCACGTGTTCTTAATACAGGATGTCAGATGCCAGGTGGCCTTAAGAGAGAACCTTAAGCAAAGTTATGTAGATGGTTCATTTCAAAGGCCAAGTTCTAGAGAAGTCAAGAAGCCTAGTAGAAAGAGAATATAGGAATACCCTTCCCTCCAGAATGACAGCAAGATTCCTGTTTTAATCTCCCTTGACTGAATCCACAGGAAAAACTCCAGAATTAGGCATATTCCATGTTCTATTTAAGCTGAGATATAAAATATTTCCTGCCCATACACAGCTTGTCTGACACTCAAAGACATATCTTTCTATCTTTCCATGTTTCATATATTGTTTTTATCTAGAATCACAGACTGCAGATGTAGGGGGCTCTCAGATCATCGGGTCAACCACCCTAAGGCCTGCAGAAAAAAAAAAAAAACACAAAACAGAACTCTTTCTGGAACACCCTGTTACTGCTCCTAAAAACATAATCACCAAAGTGTTCTCTCCATCAACACAGAACTCACTTGACTACAGAGCACCAGGTGTGGGTTAAGCAAAACTAACAACAGACCCTAATTTCGAGCAGCTTTTCCAGGTACTGCTGCTATATTCCCCAACAGCCAGCAGGAGGCAGCATGAGAACTTGGTTGCCAGTCTGTCTTAGCCACAAACTGCGAAGCAGACTTGTAGGCTGGGAAGGCCCTGGTCTGACAGCACCTTGGTAATGGCCAAGATGGAGATGTTAACCTTCCTTTGAATTTTTTGCTCCGTGCATCCCCCAGCCAAGGGCGTGGCGTGGGGTCAGGTTGTCCGCTGGTCCCTCCTTCTCCTGCCCAAATCAGCTGCTCTGTTGAACACGAAGACTGGCAACTCCAGGGAGCCCTCCCTGAGCACTCTGGCCCTCCCAGGCCTCCTCACTGTAAGACTACAAGTGCACCAGGTGTCTGTACCACATGACTTGCACTGTGTGCCCGGATTCTCATATCAGCCTCATACTATCTGCCTTGGCCTGACAGAAAGCATCTTGAGTTTTGGGGCCCACGGCTGATCCTCAGTGGCTCTGAGCACTGATGCGGGGTTGGGAACAGTGGCTGCCTGTCCACTAAACCAGGTGGACTACAGACATCATCTGAGAGAGAGCTCGGTTCTCATCCCAAGTCAGACCTTGACACCCATCCACAGGGACATTCCTTCAGGATACAGATACCTCTTGCCTGACAGGAGGAAAAAGAAACAGGCCTGCTCAGAGCTAAAAGGCCTCAGAGTAGGACAGAAACTGCAGAAGCAGTCTGCCCCGACGTGAAGCTGCATCGTGGGAGCAGTCCTGGGGGTTGGTTTGAGTCGGTGCCTCTGCACATGTAGTTCCCTCCAAATTCTGGTCCAGGGCTTTCCCTGTGTCGTAGCTATCCACGCCTTCGTACCCAGAGACAACCTGCATGGGGACTGACTCTTTTGCAAGTTCATGGCCACAAGCAATCACCTCTAAACTCAGGTGATGGCAGCCAAGACCTGGAGCCTGCAAAGCTGCCACCCTAGTGCTCAAGGCTGGGTGGCCTCTAGGAAAGGACAGGAGTCCCTGCTGCCTTCCGCAGCCTTGGCTGACAGTCTGTATGAATAAATGTGTCAGTAGGACCACAGCAGGCTGGCACGCAGCTCCACCTCTTCTCACTGCGGGGAGGGCAGGGAGGAAGACACTGGCTGAATCTCAGAGCCCTTAGAGGCCTGAGTAGATGTGTCTACACTGAGCCCGAGGCTTCCCCACCCCCACAGTGCCAAACAACCCCCAGATTGTTAATCCCAGGTTAGCAAACACAGCACACACAGCACACATTAACAGGAGCCATTAATGGAAGTCAGCAAACGTGTCGAAGAAGGGCACATCCGTCTGGAACACTTACATTCACGTCCCCGACAGCCACCGAGGAGAAAGAAAACAATATTCCATTAGGGAAGGGTCCCCGGGGATGAGACTCACACACGTGTGCGAACATGCGTGCATACACACAGGTCCACACACAGACCTACACTCACTCGTCACTCCCGCTCTCAACCTCACACGCCCACTGCTGCTGTCGGACGAAACATGCTGCCTGGGGCCACACTCAAGGAAAATTCAATTCTCGCTCTCCTTCAGTAGGAGGAATAAAAGGCATGACTTTGCTGTTTTAAAAATGATGTCCCACACACTTGATTTTTTTAAGAGAAAAAATCCATCTCTATGACTAATTCCAAGCAGTAATACAAACTTCAGTTCTATATTACATCAGGGCAGGCAGGGTGGAGAGGGAGGAGAAAGAGCAGTCAGGCGGGAAGGAGACAATAATAGAAAGGGACCCGTGCAGGAGACAACAGGGAAATGACTCACACAGGGGCAGGAATGGAGCTGAAGTGGGGAGAGAATGTTCTTCTGCAGTCTGACATGCACAGATGAAAATCATCTCAAGGGACAAGGAGGGGCCCTGTGACCAAAGTGTCTGTGACCCCCTGAAATCCTCTCCCACGATGTCACTGGCTGGGAGCTGGGCTCCAGTCCCCCAATACCATCTGCTGACACCTCACACTGGGCACCTTCACTTGCAGAGATGGCCACACTTTATGGAGGAGGGGACGGAGCCCTGAAGAGCCGAGGGACTTTCCCACCATCACAGAGGGACGAAGATGGTCTTGCAAGCAGACCTGAGGGAGACTGGGAGGGGAGGAGAGAATGCCGGGGCACTGGGCGTTACAAGGGCCCAAGAAAGAGAGGGCTGAGGCAAAGGCTCCCAGATCACAGCTCTGAGCAGGACCGCCCTAGCCTGAGGCCCCCACCCAGGCCAGCCTGCTGCCCACTCCCCAGCACCCCCATCCTCACAGCTCCTGGGGAGAGCAAACACTACTAAATTCCTACAGTCAACTGCAATTCAATTTAAATGCACTGAAAATGCAGCCTCTGATGTGGAAACCATCAGGGGTCACAAGAGGTGAGGGCTTGCCAGGAAACAGCGCAGAGCAGTCCCATGAGGAGAGCGTGGAGGAGAAGGCAGCTTTATTCTCCCTGGTCCTCCAGTGGTAATATCCCAGAATTAGAGGCTTTCAGAATGGCTCGCGGAATTCACAAACTCAAAATTGGTGAACAGGTGGAGATCACCATAGTCGCCTGAGGCCTCTGGGACCTCGCTCCACGTTGTTTCCCAAGCACCAGTAGGTCCACCAGGTCCAAGCATTAGCCTCTAGCACTGGAATGCAGCCCCTCTGTTTGTTTCTTCCTTTTTAAAACTGGGATATAACATGACATCATGTTAGTTTTAGATGTACAACATAATCATTTGAGTAAGATACATATGTATATATATACACACATACATATATACATGTACATATACATATATACATATACATACATATATATGTGTATATATATATTCTTCTGTATCTGATGTGGACCAGGAGGCCCTGAGGGCCAGTGGTCTTCACTGTCCCCCTGCTCAGGACTCTTTTGATTATTGGTTCACATTGGGTTTATGGTCTCCAAAACCCCCAGGTCTTATACAGACTTGTAAAAACCTTAGCATCAAGAAATCTTACAAGTGAAGAAATGAAGGGAAAAGAAGACACTTCTTAAACGCTGCTCATGTCCTTGACTCTCACCACTGCAGGAGGGACAGCCATGCCTCCCCAGCCCCAGTGCTAGTAGCACAGGCAGTGGTGGGTGCCGTGCCTGCCCCCATCCCCCCGCGCATGCCAGCCAGCCGCTGTAGGTGGGGGGCCTTTTGCCTTCAGAGCCAAAGGCAGATCCTCCATGGCAGGTGAAGTGGGGGCCGGATCCATCCAGCACCATCTCCAGTCCCTCGTGTGTCTAGTCCAGGTTAGGGAAACAGCAGAAGCAGGCCAGGAGAGAACATGGCCAACCGCAGGTGCCCATGGCTGCACCACGCCATCATTCGCTCACAGGGAGGGCAGCTGCATTGGGAGACCCTAGGCTCGTCCACTCTCCCTGAGGTTTTCTGGCTGCTCCCAGCTATAACAAAAAGCCTTTTCATAGACATTTTCACAACCACGCAGTGAGGTGGGGAAGCAGGACCTTTATCTCTATTTTGAGCTGAGGAAACCGAGGCTCAGGGTGGTTAGGTGGTTCACGCACAGTTACACAGCTAGTAAGTGGCAAAGCAGGACCAGGGCTCCCTTGGCTGCACCTGGACCAAAACCCCCGGAACTACAAGGCTTCGTTGCTTCAGAGGACCTGGGTAAGTTCCTGTGTCCTCATCACCCACAGCACAAGGAAATATGACCCTGTGGTGGTTTTAAAATATCTCCACACATTCTTTGATACTACTCCTCCCTTCCTGAGGTGGAGATTAAGTCTCCTCCCTTTGAGCATGGGCTGGACCTAATGACTCACTTCCAACCAACAGAAGAAGGCTGCGGTGCTGGTGTGTGACTTCAAAGACTAGGTCCTAAAAGATACTGTGGCTTCCCATGTGCTCTCTCTCTACTGATCACTCACCCTGGGTGAAACGAGCTGCCATATTGTAAGGATGCACAAGCAGCCTCAGAGAGACCCATGCGTTAAGGGGATCTGAGTCTGCAGTCAGTAGCCGCAAGAGAGCCATCTTAGAAGTGGACCCTCCAGGCTCAGTCAATCCTTTATGTGACTATAGCTATGGCCAACATCTTGGCTACAACTGCTCATAGACTGTGAGCCAGAACCACTGGGTTAAGCTGCTCCTGAATTCCTAGCCCGCAGACACTACCAGATAATACAGGTTTGTCATTTTAGGCAGTTAACCTCTTGACTCCTGCCCCTACTCCCCAGACTATGCAGCTGAAAGGGAGCCCCACGGTCAGGCGCCAGCTTATGGTTAGAACCTCCTCCTGAGGCGAGATGCCAGCACGCTGCACAGAGGCTGGCTGCTTACTCACCTTTCCGGGTCCTGCAGGTAGAGCAGCAGGTACACACTGTGGGGGGATGGGGGACATCATCAGTGGTACCCCTTACTTGATGGGAACCAGCCCCAGCAAACGGGGAGGCTCCAGTGAGGTGTGGGGATCCCGGGAATGGGGGTCTCTGTAGAGACACCAAGGTAGGGGAGGAGATCATTCCAGATTCAGCTTCCCCTCAGGTGCTAGAAAATGCCCTTGCCTGGCGCACAGGGGTCAGTCCTTATGTCGTCCGAGAAATAATTCTAACCGCACCTGCCCACACACCCCTCCACTCTATGCCTTCCAGTTCAGAAAGATTTCCAGAAACCTTCTCAGACTGACCTCTGACTCCCCACACTGCTTAGTAGCAGTCATTCGGTCAAAGGCCCAAGTAGCTATTGCCTTGTACATGCCACTGGTTGCGGTGCACATCTGGGCCTTGGTATGCAGTAGGTGCTTACTAAATACATGTTGACTGAGTGTCTCCAGGTTCACAGGAAGCATGGATCACTCTTTTAACACCACCTCCACTCTTCCTAGGGTTCAATGCCAGGCTTTCAATAAATGGTGTCTAACAAGATTCTGTAGGGAGGGCAACATGTTTCTGCATATTGTTCTTTTACACCAGTGGGCGTGTATTTTTATTTTACATACACTGTTACATTATATCTCATTGCTTTGTTCTTTCATTCACTGGCATCATTTCAAGAATGTACATTGAACATTGTATGTAGGTTGAAACCATTGCCTCCAATGGCTGCATACAGCTCCCTGGAGACCAGCCACCACCTCTGACCGGTCCACCCCCAGGCCGCCTCCAACAATTGCCACCGGTCCAGGGTTTGCAAATTCTCTTGTTTGCTCTCCTCGCAAGCCTAAGACACAGGCTGAGTAGGGATTACAGTACCCTTTTTCCAGAGGGGAAAGCTGAGGGGAACGGGGCTCATCTTCATGCCAAGGTCAAATTCTCTGGTAGTGACCACCTGTGGTGTCACTCTGAGAAAGGTTCAGAGGCTGAACGTAGGCCCCTAGGGACAAACGTGGTAACTGTTTGGCTACATCTTCCTCCTTGCACTGCTCTGCACGGCCCACTGTCGCCTTGCCAGGTTGCAAGCCCAGACTGGGCCCTACCCCACCATGCCCAGTGTCGAAGGCCCACACAGGCATAGGGAGGGCACCCAAGCCCTTGCAGCTGGGCCTCCTTTGTCACACTTCCCCCTGGGCACATCGACCCCCAACTGCCTGGGTACTTTTGCCCCACCCATGCCCAGGTCCTGAGTCATCCTTCACCTGTCTTTCGTTCTGAGATGACTTTTATTTGAGGCTCCAGAACAGCTGGAGTGAATGCCACATGGTCCCCGCCCTCCCTGCTGGGTCAGCACCTCCCTTCTCTGCCCCCTGGAATCATAGGTGCTATGGCTCAGGGAGAGCAGTGGGGAGCGCAGGGTCATGTTGTAACACAGCGGGTCCTCTGGTTCTCCATGAACTCTACCTGCTCAGCCTGCGTCCAGAGTGACCCCGCTGCCTCGCTGGGGTGTGGCAGAGGGCATCACTGCTAATGGAAGGCTGCAGGGCCAGCACTGAGACAAAGCATCCCAAACCCGTTCCTACCTAGTGGTGGTCTGGGAAAATGTTCAAAGCCCAGGAGATGCTTCCCATAGCCTTCAGACCTCACAGACTTCTCACTTTCCCAGGTCGGAGACTGCCCTAAATAATCTACCTGGGGAGAGGTCTACGTAGGAGGCCTGGATTCTGTGTGGCCTTGGCACAGTGCATGTCCTCTCTGAGCCTACTTCTTCCACTTGGTTCACTTGATAATGACAACAGAGAATCTCAGAGGGAAAGGACTGTGGAGCCCCACTAGAGTCTCAGTATATGACCATTCAACTTTGGTTTGGGCCCTTCCAACGTCAAGGACCTTGCTACCTCACAAGGCAGCCCATTTCTCTCCTGGACACTTTCATATTAGAAAGTGCTTTCATAGGTGAGTTACATAACAACAGTAGCAGCTACTATGTAGAGTGCCAGGCATGATCCGAAGCACTTTTATTTTATTTTATTTATTTATTTTTAAATGTTTTATTTATTTTTAGGAGAGAGAGAGAGAGACAGCGTGAGCAGGGGAGGGTCAGAGAGAGAGGGAGTCACAGGCTGAAAGAGGCTCCAGGCTCTGAACTGGCAGTCAGCACAGAGCCCGACGCGGGGCTCGAACCCACGAACCGCGAGATCATGACCCAAGCGAAAGTCAGACGCTTAACCGACTAAGCCACCCAGTCGCCCCAATCTGAAGCACTTTTAAATGGATTATTTTATTTGAATCCTCACAACAACCCCACAAGTGGGTATTGTCACTCCTTGCGAACAGATAAGGAAGCTGAGGTTCAGAGAGGGTAAGAACTTGCCCAGGTCACACAGCTAGTAAGCAGCTACTCTCTTGGAACTTTACCCAATTTTATCCCATTGGTTCTTGCTCTGACTTCTGAGCCTCACAGATTTGGGGCCTGTTTTTCTTCCAATAACAGTTTTAATTTGAGGCTCTGTGGCCAATGAGCTGACCAAGGGTGGAGGTGATATATAATTCCATTTCACATTTCTATTTCTGAAACAGTTCCCAGTAGATCAGAAGCTGTAGATGCTCAAGGAAACCTAAATGGTCAGGGGGTGAGCAAACAGAGAGCACCAGCCCAGGAGTGAGGCCACAGGAGAATGTCAATCCATGGGTGATCTTGGTGACAGTCCCTTCTCTGGGCCTTGGTCTCTTCACTGGGAATATCTGAGGGTTAAGACTGAATGATCCGTGAGGTCCCTTCCTGCCTGGCCTTTTGGAATTGCATTCTGAATTTTTTTTTTAATGTTTATTTATTTTTTGAGTGAGAGCCCTGATGGGGTGAGTGGATACTGCACTCTAAATTTTCTGGGATTGCATTCTAAATTCTCCTGAGAGAGGGGTACCTGGGTAGCTCAATTGGTTATGCATCCAACTTTGGCTCAGGTCATGATCTCGCGGTTCGTGAGTTCAAGGCCCCATTGGGTTCTATGCTGACAGCTCAGAGTTTATAGCCTGCTTCAGATTCGGTGTCTCCCTCTCTCTCTGCCCCTCCCCCACTCATACTCGCTCTCTCTCTCTCTCTCTCTCTTTCTCAAAAATAAAACTAAACATTAAAAAAAATTTTAATTCTGGGGATAGAGAGTTCACTCAGGAGATTGCCCCTCCCTGATCCTCACCCCTAGGGCCAAGCTTCTACCTTCCCAACCCTGCCAGAGTTAAAATATCTTCCCTCCAACAGAGAGGCCACAATGTTCAAACCTGGGGCCAGGGTAAAGTGGGGTGTTCCTCAGAGGGGAGGAAACTGACAGACACCCGGCCTGGCTCTAAGCTGGTCTCCGTTCCCTGGAAGGGAGTACGAGCCATTATTCCCAGACAGCCACAGGGCTCCTTCTTTCCCATCCCTGTCCAAGACTCTTAAAAGTCAGGTGGGGTCTGTGAGGCTCGGGGGGGCGGGAGGGGGGTTCAGGATGCTCCCTGCAGGGTGCACCTCACAGCACAGGGTCAGGATCCAGGTGACTTGCATGTCCCTGTTTCTGTGTTTAAGAGCAGGGCAGCCACCGGGAACATGTTACAGCCAGAGACTCCAAAAGGGTGGTCCAGTTCCCATCCTTGAGGCTCAATGTTCCACCCAGGGTGAGGGATAGAGGTGGTGATACAGAACTGCGCCCTATACCTCCTTCACCATTAAACCCCCGCGGGCAGCAGCAGTGTTCAGCTCCTGAGAGCCAAGGTCCCTGGAATCTCTCCAAGGAATGGTCTGGGAAAATGTGAGTCCTGGCCCAGCTCCCTACACCCTAATCCATGTCCCAACCCTCCACAAGCCTGAAACCCACTAATGGATTGGACATCAGTGGGTCCCAAAGGGGGCTGCACCTCAACACCACCATATATGGGTCTCATCCCAGACTTACTGAATCCTCTGGGGATGGGCCCAGGACTCTGCATGTTTAACAAGGTCCCCAGGTCAAGCCTCATACAGGCAACCTGATGCCAGGCACTTGAAAATCAGAGGGACACATCGGGGACAGAGGTATGGTTTCCATAAAGCTGTGGCCTCCGCAGGAATTAGACCTCAGAGCTAGTGTGGCCTTTGGCATGTAGTGGCTGAGGGTGTGCCTGGTGAACGGGGGGCACAGGGGTGGGAGGAGATGGTGGAGTGAGAGAGACGACAAGAGACATGCATGCAGGGAAAAAGGACCACAGGAGCCAACAGCCCTGGGTGGGTGGGAGGAGACACTCATGCTCAGGACAGGTAAGCCCTCCTGGGGGTCCAGGGCCAGGGAGGAAGAGAACAGAGAAAGCTGTCTCGCACCATGTCCAGCTGTGCCTGCTGCCTCCAGGCTCGCTTCAGGCACTGTCCCCACCCACTCCCAAACCCTTCAGTAATCAGATGGAAAAGGCAGGACCCTTGGGTGCAGGTGGCCTAACCCTGCCCTCTAGCAGGGTCCCCAGGCCAGCCTCGCCTCATGGCCAGAGTGGTGCTCTGCCTCCTGGCTGGCCTGGCACGATCCGATGGGCATCTGTGTTGATGGCAACTCCGGGCTACAGGCCGCATGGTGGACTGGGCCTCTCTCCGTGAAAGCAAGGCCTGTGAACTGGAAAAGCCAAAGAGCGGACCGACACCTACCTGAGCTGCCAGCGCTCTCAGAAGCACTCCTGGACATCTTAGGCTGGCCGTGTTTGCCGCTGGCTCGCCCAGATCCCGGCGGTGGGGGGCTGGAGGGAGCAGGGGCACCGTCACCCCGGATGGTGGTGAGGTCCTGCATGCTGAAGCTCCGGAGTCTCTCCGATAAGGCACCCTGTCCCTGGATACAACACAGGAAGGGGGCACACGTCAGAGGCCTGCCCCACTGACCACAGGCTGTGGTGGGGAGTGGGGGGTGAGGAGGCAGACACAACAAAGGCCAAGAGGGAGTTCTGACAGTCAGCAAGGTGGAACTCAAGACCCGGAAGGACTCTGTAGAGGGGCAGGTGCCTGGTGTACTGGCTGCAAATACTGAGAGGAGCAAGGCCTAGAATATTCCACGGCCTCCTATGGGTCTCAGCAATTATGTCTCTGGCTCCCGGCTCCTTCTCCTTCATTTAAAAAAAAAATTTAATGTTTATTTTTGAAGGGGAGAGAGAAAAGGAGAGAGACAAAGCATGGTGGAGGAGGGACAGAGAGAGAGATGGAGACAGAATCCAAAGCAGGCTCCAGGCTCTAAGCTGTCAGCACAGAGCCCAATGTGGGGCTCAAACTCACGAACTATGAGACCATGAGCTGAGCCAAAGTCGGATGCTTAATCAACTGAGTCACCCAGGCGCCCCTCCTTGTTCAGATGCCCACATTGCGTGATGAGCTAGAGCTGCAGAAAGACTCAGGGCAGGGGAAATGACTGCCACCTGCAGTTCCTACTCTTGAGGGGTTGTTTGCTGCTTCTGTGGCTTTACATAAATAAAAATCCCTACAGAGCCACATTTTTACTCAGTCTCCAGTACACAAGAATCTGGTCAGAAAAATCAAAACCTAATCGTTGATGTGCTTAGTCCTTACACTTTTCAAAGGAAATAAAACTCAGCCAGTATTTTTTTTAATGTATGACAACAGCAATTGCTTTTATCTGTTCGTGTTACTGTTTCTCAGGCACATTTGCCTCCACTCTTGCATTTGAGCTTCATAAAATACCCAAAAGGTAATGAATCAGGAAGGGGAAAAATTATATTAAAAAAAAAAAAACCTGCTGACTGTAACCATTTCATATTCTGAGAGAGCCACAGAATTCATCTCAGGGGAAAATTGTTCTTTTGTTTAGGAAAGCAAGATCAATCCATTATACTTATGAAAGGGAAGGTCCTTGCTGTCTGGATGAGAGAATCTGTGTCGGAGTGAAAAGGATCATAATGAAGGCTCAGGGAGGGGACATCGCCTTAGGGGCGCCTCAGGGGCTGGATAGGGGCCCTGTGTTTGGAAAACAAGGAACTTAAGAGGGAGCTGGGGGCTGGGGGCTGGTAGGAGACGGGTTAATCGAGAACTGGGTTGGGATTTGAGCAAAAGGTGACAGGCAAGTAACCACCAAGCAAACCAATGAAGTAGGACATCTTGGGAAATACTGGAGGGCGAGCAGACTTCTCACAGGTACACAGGACAGCAGAGGATGGGGGAGGAGGTACCTGATCTGGATAATGAAGGGAAGAGTGGTCCTAGAGGGCTGGGCTACTTGAGGACAATAAGACACAACAGATATAACAGAACCAACAAATCAGCACAAAACGGGTGGGAACAGCCAACAGGAGAGCTCTGGGGCGGGGTAGGATTCATAAAACAAACAAGGGCCACAACATGGCAGAGGGGTTGGAGGGTTTTTTTTTTTAATTTCACTTAAAGGGAAATAAAAATAAAAAGCAATGAAAATGGCCAGCAAAGCACAGCAGTTCACCGAAGTGACTAGTCAAAGAGCCAGTTAGATAAAGGAGCAAATGCAAATGTGAAATGAGTTTGTTAGAGGGAAGGGGGAAAACAAAAGGAGCTTGCAGACAAGTCGAGAAGAAATGTCAGAATAAAACAAAGATGCATTAAAATATGAAAGAGATAAGTTCTCTACCTACCAAATATCTAAAAACATCTCTAGGAAACTAAGAGCAAAAGGAAAACTATTTAAATAATCAGATATATCCAATTAGAATTATAAATCCAGACAAAGGGTGTTTTATAAAAAAAAAAAGAGAGAGACAGAGATCACCCTGGCTGCCTCAGACACCCCTCCGCAAGATGGTGGCTAAGGAGACTGAAACCTCACCTTCTAGACATTAACAGCTGGGTGGTCTGTACCATGAAAACAAGGTGAAACTAGCTGCCCTGTATAATCCCCTCCAAAGCTATTAGCCAATGATCTACGATTATTTAACTCAGAAGCACTTAAGGTGACATCTAGAATTTAGAAATGAGAGGACTAAGGAACAAAAATGGATTGGAAAAGAGGGAGGAAATACTGACAATCACAATGGAGTAATTCAGTGTCAGGTTCACACTCAGGAAGGCTACTCCGTGGTTCGCTTTCAGTCATCCTACCATTCGGTCACTTTTATTCAACAACTATTTATCAAGGCTGTTCTCTGGGCAAGACACAGTGCTAGGTGTTGTTAGGAAATCCCAAAAACACAGCTCAATTTCTGACAAAATGTAAAAAGACAAATGTACAAATAACCGCACAGCTTGGGCCATACCATAAGCTACACAAAGAGTGGATTAAGTGCAACAGTTCTGGAGTCAGACAGAGAGTCAAATTACAGTCCTATCGCTAAGAGCTGGGTGACCTTAACCTCCCTCCACCTCAATGTTCTCCTCTGCCAAGGAGCATCCACATGGCAAGATATAGTGATGATTACATGAGATTATGTCCATACGATACTATAAGGCCCAATACATAATAAGAGTTCAAACAATGCCACCTATGATGATGGGGATGGTGGTGATGATGAAGAGGAGGAGGAGGAGGAGGAGATGCTGCCTGAGACACACAACTTGCTGTTGAAATAAAAAATAAAAAGACCACATCTGGCCAAAAGGACAAGGAGGAGCTTCATGAGCCCAAGCCCAAATAGAGGGCCAGGGACTAACTCCATCAATGTCTGGCAGCTCCTGGAAATGTTCAGTAATGTATCTGAGAGCAAGCAGCAGCAGGCACCATACGTGTTCTTTTCAGGAAAGCACTCAAGTCCACTCGCAGAAGCCAGCCAGCCTAGCTCCAATATCACTAACATCATGAAGACTGGAAGTGCAGAGGTTAGGAAAGAAAAGGGGATAATAATAGCTCTGTATCAACACAGTCCTGAGTCAGATGAAATCATAGTGGCATGGATACAAGGATCTCGAAAACAAATTAGCCTTTATCTGTCAAAACAATCTGGGGTGGTTAGAATTAACATGGCTCTCTCATTTGTAAACCTCTCAGCCCTGCTCCATCTCCTCTCAAGACCTCATTTCCATTCATTTTCCACAAACCCCAATCCATCCTGCCACTTTGGCTCTGCTCTGGAGAACGTCCATTTTATTATTCTGGGAACAATCAAGAACTGTTCAGCGGTACTCTGCAAAACTGGGCTCCCTATTTGGGAGTATAAATATGGCTCCCCTAAATTTGTTAAAGCGTAATACCACACTCTCCATAATCCAATGAGCCACTTTACCATATTAAAGCCTTTAAAGATTCCTACACTGTTTCAGGTTAACTCACTGTAATTCCAACAAATTTGACCACACTGGGATATACTGTTAGTTGGCCATCCAAAACTCACTCCCAATCCCATTCTTGACATGGCAAAAAACAAAACAAAACAAAACAAAAACAAAAAAAACCCAGATTTTCCAATCTCCCTTGCAGCTATGCACGGCTATGTGGTGCAACTGTGGCCAATGGAAGGTAAGGGGAAATTTGCTAAGGGATTTCTGGGAAAAACATCTCCCTTTCCAATATGCAGAAGAAAGACCTGAACCTGCTCCTTGTTTTCTGCCTTTGAGTGTGGTGGAACTGCCAGCCATCTTGTGACTAGGTGACTCACAGAGACATCCATCCAGAGCCCTGACGTCTCTGACTCACTGGAATAATGAGAGTACCCACTTACTCCTAGACTTCTTGTAAATGATCTTCATCTATTTCAAGACCTGTATTTTTTCATCTCTGACACTGGGGTGGCTCTTACAATTGTTGTTGCCTTGACATCATTGTCATTGCCTACACACAAGTGCATTTGGTTGTTATTGCCCATGGCATGACTGGACAGTTGAACTGAACTGAAACCATTCAGAACCACCTGTGGAAGAAAGATGAGTCCAGGATGTTTAAAACACATTCCACTGACACCTCTGGTAAGATCAAGAAAGTGGCAGCATCCACACTGGCAGAATGGTTATCAGTGACATGGATGAAAATCCCAGAGACAGCAGCTAGCTGTGTATTACTAATGCTCTGGAAGGTAGAGAGTGATACAGCATGGTCATAAATGGACACTGACAAGCTCAGTTGAAAAGTGATTCAGAAGAGTGAGACTCGGAAAGTGAAGAACCGAGGTTAGGAAGAAATTCAACCAATTTCTTATGCTTATGTGTTCCTTTCGATGTATGTGCAAAAATGACACACAAAAAACTCTAGGTCTAAACAAGTCTAAAAGAGTCCTTTTGATAAGTAGAAGTAAAAATTCTAAGTGGAAAAGCATTATACCTTAATTTGATTGGCAATATTTTCTTCCTTTAGGGGTCGATAACAATGTATCTTAGAAACTACCACATTCTTTTTTTAAGTAGACTTCATGCCCAACGCGGGGCCCAGCATGGGGTCTAACATGGGGCCTGAACTGACAACCCCAAGATCAAGACCTGAGCTGAGACCAAGAGTCAGACACTTAACTGACCTAGTCACCCAACTGCCCCCAAACTATTGCGTTGCAGATTCAATGCAATATGGTTGCACTTCTCAAAGTTTTGTCTGACCATCTCTACTCCGTGTCATATGCTCTCAGAAGTCTGTACTTCTATGTAGTGCCTCACACAATTATATTTAACTATTGATATTGTTTGTTCATTGTCTTCCCCTCTAGATTGTTTATTATATGTATTAGTGCAGCCTCGGTGTCTGCCACTCTACCCGATACACATTAGAAGTCAAGGAGTTGAATGAATGAACATATGGTCATTTGTTGAGCAATCCCCTCAGTAAAGTGCAGTAACAGGAAATCCCCACCCCTACCCCAGTGCATCGGCCAGGGTCCTACACCTGAAGCAGCATCCTGTTGAATAGGGACATGAGCTCTGTCCACAATGAGTATATGA